CTCAATCAGATGTAAATTGAAAATTCGATCTTAGAAGAAGAATTTAAAAAATCAATTCAAATTAGTAATTCAATTCAACTTGGATTGGATTGGACTTTAAATATTATCCAATTAACTCCCCCCGCCCCCCCTAATCATAATCTAATTCACAATAGACCTAATCTATGGATGTCTACTAACTAACTTGATTAAAGGCTTATAATGAATTGCACATAAGACATGAAATCAAAATCTAGTTTACTTCATTTACCCTCTGTAAGAAGATCGATTATGCGAATAACCATATAGTGTCCTTTCCTAAAACAATATCATGTATGGTTCGTCATTCCAGTTGCCGAAGATGTAATCACACCAGCAGCAGCATACCACACATGGAATCACTTTGGGAAGTATTTATCTCTGCCTCAAGTTTTCAATCTCTTTCCTCGAGCCAAGAGAGTAGAAGAAGATAAAAACTCAGGCTTGCAATAAGATAAGCATGTATATCAGTATAATATGTAGGTCGTAAACTACTGCTACTACAGTAACACTTCATACGTCTAATAAATCTAATTAGTATTCATATTCTGGAACAGCAGAATCAGACCTTCTATAAGGGCATCAAAATCTGAGTCCTTTGCAGTAGACAACACACGCGGAATAATTTTGGAACATAAAAGAGGGGAAGCAGAACGGAATAGCTGTGATTTTTCAAAGTAACTTCAGTTGTGAAAAGACATGGGATTTTTGCAACTAGCGAGAATCACAAAAGTACTTCATACAACAAACTCATGATTAATTGAAACAAATGTTCAACTCCCTGCTCTGTTTTCCTGGAATGTTATGCCTAACTTGCCAACCAAATTCACCTGCAAAATAAACTGGAAATAATCCATTGCTCACATACTATAATGTATGCTCTATGCATTCTACATTTAACAGGAGGTAATTCCTGGATAATTAAGAGTCCATTATTTAAGGATGGGCAAAGCCAACAACTTCAAACACCTTAGATTGAGGCAACTAAAGAGCAGAATTAAAAAAATGTTACAAGGAAAACACAGGCTGAGTTGACCTGACCCTGATACGGCGATACACCAATTGGATTGACACTCCCAAATGCTTAAATTTTGAGTCTGAACTCTGAAACCTCTATAGGATTGAAGACTGAAAAGCTAAATGGTTGAAGCGTCTTATGAAAGAAAAATTGAAACACCAACATTGAAGAACTAAACAGGTAGTAGTTGCAAAAGTGTTACAGGTCCATGTGATGTATTAGTCAAAATCTAAAGCTCCCGTATACAATTGAGATGAACTAGCTTAACACAGCTTCATCATCTAGGATAAACACCTTTAGATTGACCACTTAAACCTCCGCAATGAGACCATGGAAAATTGGAAACATTAATTATTAAGACCAGCTAAACAACCTGTAGCTCCATAAGCTCCTATAGTAACTGAGAAACTATCCCAAGAACAAAACCATTGACGCAAGGGCAAAGAAGGAAATATAGCACCATAAGTGTGTTTGGATGGTTATCATGGAAGAAAAGGGAGGGAGGGGGGCTACGGTGGGGAAAGTGAGAGAAAGGAAAAAGGAAGGTGAGGGAAGGGAATGACCTTGCATTTCCCTTCCAAATCTTTCTAACAATGGAAAAAAGGTGACGGAGTATGGATCTCTAAACAAAGAAAATTGGTTTCCTAGCTTTATTCCCTTAATTCAAACATAATAAAACTAGTAGCTCCATTAACTCAAAGCAAGGTTCATTACATTAGAACTAAATCTACCACATCTAAAGGAAGCTAAATCCAAAGAGCCACCTGATACTCCCAAAGATAGCAAACATCCTCAAACAAGCAGACCCACCATAGACTACAGTAAATCAAGAAGGGGAGAGGTGAAGATGCAAAACTTAGATGCCCAACTTGTCTACAGAAACTAAAAAAGCGTAAAAGCAAGTGATCTCAACCAAACTAAGCACCAACCACAATTGACCTATCTTTAAACGAAGATAATCTTATTGAATGAACAAGCTAAAGAAGGAAGAAAATGAATGAGGGATATCAAATGAGATCCTAAGTCCTGACTAAAGATACTTCTTAACCACCAAAAATGAAACACATAAACCTTTTTTCTCCACCCAATAAAGCCTAAGAACTCTAACTGCTTCAAGGATGGAAGGGAATTGGGTGGGGAAGTGAAAGCAAGCTTATAAGCAATAGCACCAACCAACTCCATGAAACATACTTGAACCCCTTGCCAACTGCATATTTTGATTGGAAAAATTATTTGACCTCATGAGTTAAGCTGCAAGATGAAGAAGAAACATCAAGAACTAACAAGCCTTCCAGTCACCACTACAAATCTTTAAGTCTATCATTCTTGAACATCCCTTTACAAACTCCAAAATAACGAAAGTAGACTTGTGTGAGGTTTGGTTACTTTGGTCTCATATGACTGAGAAGTTCCCATAAGACATGATTCTCCTCCATACTTAATTTTCTATCTATAAGTTGTGTACTTAGGTCTCTAATAATAATTGTAACAAACTTTGAAAATTTCCTTTTCAAACATAAGATAGACTAAGTAAGCTACGTCCTCCATTTTGAGGAATCAGACTTTTATCAAATACCTAGCATCATCTCCATTTTTTCTACAATGAATACTTACTAACAATGCAAGATTACAAGGATTAGAAGTCTTGCTTCCAAAATTTTTTTGCTTCCAACCAAAGAACATCCTCCAAACCCAAAGAAGTGACAGCAGGGTAAAGATCAGATTTATCAACAATATGATCGAGAACATACTCTCACAAATGTCTAATCCTCCCCACAAACTTGTGCAAATGATAGTTAGTTACAATTTCTTACAAGGTGAAAGCAGTAACCCTTATCCCCCTCCCCCTCCAAGTCTGCAACCATCAGAAACAGCACAAAATAATCTTTCAATCAATATTTAAACAGTATCAATCTTGTTCCTTCATCTACAAAAAAGTTAAATTGTAGCTGAACAGAAATAGTTTCCTACTCCTCTTCCTCAATAGCAGAGAGATTACTCAACTATTCAATCAAACCCAATAATATTTTAATAAGTTTTATGATTAAAAAAAATCAGAAACAGCATCACAACATCTTTTGATAAAAGGTTTGACATCAATCCTGTTTTTTTTATCCACAAAAGGATTATTTGTAGGAACGTAAGCCTACTAGACTCCGACTTATTCAGAAATGAACAAGGGAAGCTCACCAAACAAGTGCTGCAGCATTTATAGAGCTTGGAACAACCGCTTACCGGGCTACCGGCTGATCCAAGTACCTGTTGGTAATTCAGTACTAACAAAGTAACAATCTATATGCACATTCAAGCAATAAATTTCACAAAGCATAAAGTCAACCAACCATTAAAAACTGTAATAAAAAAATTAAAGCAAAACAGATTTATGATCATAATTTCTCGTTATCCAAATTTACATACAACAAGGGTTAATTTTAATCTTTCTTGCTAAATCACAGCAAGATCCAACAAAACAACAAAAGGCAAAGAAAACCCATTAAAATTAACCCCAAAACAAAACAAACCCACAAATCAAAACCCCTCAAATCGAAGAAACAGAAGACCTAATATCATCATTAATCACCCTAACCTGATCATTATCAACATGACTGACGCAATCTAATCCACACCCACATTGCGGGCACTCCTCGAAATTATCAATAGGGAAATTAGCAGAAGCAATTCCAACAGAAAACTCAAGTTCATCATCAGCCCTTCTGACTTCAACAATATTCAACCAAACGAAGAAAACCTTAACACTAACCCCAGTAAGTTTAGTAAGCTTGTTTTTTGAGATAAACCCACTAATTGTAGGCTTATATTTCAGCTGATAAGACCCTTCTAATGAAAAACTACAACTCCCATTTAAAAATGCCTTGAAACTTCCAGTTTTTTCGTTCAATTCATACCCTAAAGCACCTTTTGGAAGAATACCCATTGGAAAATTGAAGGTTTCCAAGGCTTCATAGGCTGATAAATTGTCATCGATGGCAGCAACGGCGGTGATGAGTGAGACGATGAAGAGGAGGATTGACGAAGATGCCATTGTTATTGTGAAATTTGGTACTATAGAAGTTTTAGTATTTTGGGGTGTTAAATTTGTCTTTAGTTGGAAATTTGATGCAACATATGGCTAAATTGATGTGCCAAAAGATGCAATAATGTTGGTCTAAAATATTGGTGGAAATTTTGATAATTGACGTGTTTACTTGAGAGATTTTATTAGAATGGGTACTAACAGCTAAGCAAAGTTCTAGTCTCTCCTAATTAACTATGGGTTTGAAATTATGAAATATGATAAATGATTTTTTTTTTTTTTTTTTTTGTTCCACCCGGTTCACTTTTGGATGGTTAGGTTTCAGTCCCCTCCCAACTGTTGTTGCGGGGATCGAATATGTGGTCCTCCCTACAAGTGCAGTCTCAATCACCACTACACCAACAACCAATTGGTGATAAATGATCTTTTAGCCATATTATGGGTAATATTAATAGAATTATTTGAATCTAAAATATTGTTTAGCTATAAGAGCACGTCGTCAATAAAATTATTTGAATCTAAAATATTGTTTAGCTATAAGAGCACATCGTCATCTCTAACGGTAAAGGATTACTTGAGAGATATTATTTGAAGGGAACTTGCTTGCAATTTTTAGAAGTTTTCTCTTTTTTGAATGATGTAGTTAAAATGACAAATTTGCGTTTTTTTTTTTTTTTTTTTTAACACAAAAGGAAGCATGCATTATTTGGACAAAGCCCTTAAAACTATTACATCCTAAAGTTCAAAGAATAGCTTATATGCAAAATGTATTCTCTGAACATAGTCAAACCAAAGTACCTTACTACTATGCTTCTAATATTGTTTTTAATACAGTCATCCATAGATTGAAAATACAACCAGATAGAACTAAGTGGGATTGGGGGCAGGAAGAGCATTAAGATCAGCTTCATAAGCAGCAGCACTCACAGGTCAAACAAAATGATCAGTGTGGCCCATAGCCATATCCATTGCATATTTTGCCAAGTAATGAGCAAGGCTATTAAGCCCCCTCGGGACTGTGCTGAGGATGACATTCATTTCTCTGTTGTTAAGGAGTCTAGCAACATCAATGATAACAGCTGCAAGTTCATGATGCATATGATCCCCTTTTTTGTTGAGCAAAGACCTGATTGCCTCTGCATTAGTTTCCACTTCCAGATACTGAAGAGGCATTGCTCTTGCATAATTCAGCCCCTCCCTTTAAAGCATACAATTCTGCACCCAGAGCATTTGAAGCATTGTATTTGCTTGAATAACTAAAATACCATTCCCCTTTAATAATCCTGAAAACACCACCACCTCCTCCTAAATCAGTTGAAACCCAAGCTCCATCTGTGTTAAGTTTCAAAAAACCAGGCTTAGGAGGGCGCCAGCAAGGAGGCTTAACCACAGAGGGTCCAGCTTCATCACCAACCTTCTCTTTTCCCTTATAAACACCCTGTAAGAAAAAAGAGTTTATTTGGTAATCTATAATAAATCTGTTAAAAACAGAGTTACAATTATAGACTTCTGCATTGGAAATAACTCCATTTTTGAGCTTCCAAATGTGCCACGTTCCCATTACAAAAATACATTTCCATTTTGGAGTCTGATAGAAATTATAGGATATCCAATAATTCCAGTCATTGTTCATGAAATTTGAATAGTTGAACTGCAAAGGAGGTTTTATTTGCTAAAAAATCATTTTCCATAAGATAATGGAGGAGTAACAGTCCCTAAAGAGATGTATAAATGTTTCAGATGAAGTGTGACTTCTAACACAAGTATCATCAAAGTTTGGAATCCTAGATGCAAGGAGGGAAGCTGTAAGGATTATGGAAAGAACACAGTTCCACATAAACATTTTGTATTTATATGGGACTTTGATTTTCCAGAAAGATTTCCAATTAAAGTAGAAGGGAAAAGGAATTTTTGTGGGGTTGGTGGAAGTAAAATAGGCAGTTTTAATAGTGAAAACTCCAAAGGTATGTAATTGCCATCTTATTTGATCTGTTGAAGAGATAGGGTCAATGATAGAAAGGGGGGTGCTGAGAATGAGAGAAATGAGATCATCAGAGAGAATGTATTTGATATCATCAATGCACCATTTGCCGGTTCTAATAATATTTGGAACCCTCTAATGGCATTTGGATTGTGGAATATCAGTGTCTAGGATTTGGTAAAGAGGAGTTATACCTATCCAATGATGATACCTTAAAGAAGTATCTTCACCATTCTCAATCCTGATTATGACACCTTTAAATAACAAATCCCTACCCTTAAGAATATCCCTCCAGATTGAAATTGAGAAGAATTTGGTATACGATCTAGCAAATTACTCCTTCTCATATATTTATCCTAAAGAATCTGCACCCACAGCTTATCTGGCTTAGTTAGGAAAATCCAGCCTAACTTAGCCATGAAAGACAAGTTCCATTCTCTTAAAGACCTAAGACCTAGAATCCCCCCCCATGGCCGTTGGAATGGTAAGAGACTAGTTTGCATGGCATGGATAGGGTAGGAACTTAAAACAGACTTTATAAGGGTGCATCTACCAGCCATATTAAGAAGTTTGGCTTGCCATCCCTTAATTCTATCTAGAGTCTTTGAAAGCAACTCCCCATAATCCCCTATCTTTAGCTTATTAGGGCTTATGTTAATACCTAGATATTTCCCAAAAGAGAAACTAGATTTGAAGTTACAAAGAACTGTGAGTTGGTGCCTAACATTATATTCCATTTTAGGTGGAAAAATAATACTTGACTTCAAATCATTAACCTTCAAGCCAGAGAAAGCTCTAAAGCCCTCAAGGATACTCATCATTGTGGACAAATTATCAACATTGCCAGCCCAAAAAAGGAAAACATCATCAGCATAAAAAAGATGTGAAAGGCTGTAATTTTTAGAAATCTTGAGAGGTTTCCAAATACCTTTTTTCACACTTTCCTCAATAAGCAAAGAAAGTTTTTACATGCATAAAACAAAGAGATAAAAAGATAGGGGATCACCTTGTCTGATACCTCTAGAAGGTTTAAAATTATCTATTATTTCCCCATTCCAAAGGACTGAGATATTTGTGGAAGACACACAATGCATGATGAGTTTAATGGTGGACTCTGGAAACTCAAAACATTTGAGGGTCTCGCCAATCATATAGTGCTTCCTGTCTTTTTTATAGAAAAAATCGTACTTCTCTTGTAGCAGTAGCTAGCATTCGAGTCCTTGGTACCAGAAAAGGAGGGTTCAATTAGTGCCACTATCTTTTGTCCAAGCGATGTGTCAGCAATGAAAGACCATTCAAGACAATCATAGGCTTTAGCCAAATCTAGCTTAAGGGCCTTTGGATTTTTTCCTTTCTTGCATTTATGAAAGAGATGAGCCACTTCTTTTATGAGAATGATATTATCCTCCATACATCTATTCTGAATGAAGCTGGATTGAAAAGGACTAATGACTCGATGCAAAACACTTTTAAGCCTTGAAGAAATGATCTTAGTGACTAGCTTATAAATGGTATTGCAAAGACCTATTGGTCTCAAATTAGACATGGTACTTGGATGGTCTTTTTTTGGAATTAAAGAGATATAAGAATGGTTTAAGTCATCTGGGATATGAGACTCCTTAAAAATATGGGCTATAAACTCATGAATAGTACTGCATAAGTCATGCCAAAAATGCTGGTAAAAAAGAGGTTGAATACCATCTGGACCAGGACTTTTGATTGGATCCATTCTAAAGAGATTGGATTTGACTTCCTCTATAGTTGGAGAAGATGAAAGCAAATTGATTAGGGGATTTTTATCCACCAATCACCGTCTGACAAGTGGACCAACCAGGTTCCGCCACGTGTCCTTCACGAAGGCCAATAGGAGCCTGCCACGTGTCAATCACAGATACGTCCTCTACGGACCAATCGAGGCACGCCACGTGTCCACCCATGCCAAATGGGAAAACCGGCCAACAAGGCCCAATCCTGTCTAGAGGCCCGGTCAGCCCTAGGTTTACCCTAAACCTAGAGAGTGGCACGCTTCTCAAGACTATAAATACTTAATTAATCCTCATTAATTAGGGGAGGAGGAAAACATCAGGCAATCAAGCAATTGAGAGGCAATTGATCAAGCAATTAATCTCACCTGAAGAACAGAGAAGAACAGAAACATTACGGAACACTAATAACCGGCTAATCTCGCTAACAAAGCAGATTACCAACATTAAACACTCTCACCTAGAGAGGTCTTATTACTTTAATTTCCGTATTAATTACTCCTTAATCAGGTACTAACTTGACCGTTGGAGGCGGAGCTCTCAAGAGTCTCCGTTATTTTGCAGGTACAGGCGTCCGGTTCCAGTCTCAGAATTGTAACTCTCCCGCAGGACATCAGAAAACCCCGAAACATTTGGCGCCGTCTGTGGGGAGAGTACTTCAGAGATGGCATCCAAGTCTGTACCGACTCCTGAAGAGAGGCGTCCCCTAAACGACCCTCAAGTTCAGTCGGACCATGACACCGAAAGTGAATTTGAAGTGGAAACTCATACAGCTCCAGACGGGACCCTAAGGGCCCGACGTACCCGTCATACTGAAAGGAGGGAACGGGAGCATCTTCAAACAAGAAGCGAGCCAGCAGGCGCACCGCCTGCTCGGCAACAGCCGACTGATGGGTCTGCTCCCATCACAAGGAACGAACTCATGACCTTCATGAGGGACTTCAAGGGAGAGATTCAAGAGTTGATCAACAAAAAGCCGCCTGCTTCAGTCAAAGAGCAGTCGGCCAAAAAACCTTCCACTTCACTGAAGAGGAAGCCAGTTCAAGGGCGAGAGGCGACTCCTCATCCTAAATCCAAGAAGCGGGAGCCACCTGCTCTTGATTTCACAAAATTCCGTTATCCTACAGGAAATAGGAAACCGGTTCGTCATATTCAGGCGGACGGGTCAAAGCAAATGTTCACAGATGCTCGGCTACTGCTAGAGCAGAAGAAGAGTGACCGATTGTCAGAGTCGGCTTCTACTTCAAATTTTCAAGACAGTTTGCGAAATGCCTCGATGAGGCATACTCAGTCGTACCATGAGAGTCAGTCAGGCGGCACCTCCCGTCAGTCTGGCTTTCATAGTGCCCAGGCGGTACCAAACTTACCATTTGTGCCGCAACAACAGTATTTTATGCAGCCACCTCCATTTGGTGGACCTGCAGCAAAAAACGTCCAACCTATGGACTGGCAGCTACGGTTGCTTAGACTTGGTGAACAGCCGTCGGCCTTCTCCAAGGAAATTACTGAAGCCGCTCAGCCGGCCAAAGTAAAAAATGTACTAGTAGGCGCCTATGACGGCACTACTAACCCAGAAGACCATCTGATGGCATTCACCAACCTGATGTAAGTGTTGGATGATCCCACTTGGTGCAAGTGTTTCCCAGCGACTCTCAAGGGAATCGCACAGCAATGGTTCGGCAACCTGCCGACTGGTTGTGTCAACAGCTTCAGGACGCTTGCTTACTTATTTGCCTCCAACTTCGCCATGAACATCCCTGCGAAGAAAACGACCCTTGATTTGGGAACAATTCAGCAGGGCGAGAAGGAGGGGCTTCGTTCTTACATCAGGCGGTTCAACCTGATGAGAATACAGATTCAAGGGTTACCGGATGAGGTAGCTTATACTGACTTTTTTAGAGGTCTCAAAGACGGGTCTACCTTCAAATTTGACTTAGTTCGAAAAAGGGTGGCGACTCTTCAAGAGGCCTTGATTGAAGCAGAAGCCTATATACAGGCGACTGATCTGTGTACGATAAAACAGTCGGACGGGAAAAGGTTCGACAAAAGAGAAGGACGACAGAAACAGTCGTCTAACAAAGATGAGAAAAGAAAAGAGGTCTGGGCGGTTGATTCCTCTAAACAGCCGGCCCAGAAAAAGAAAAAAGAATTCAAACCATACTCCCCAAAGTATGTGTTTAACAAGGATAACCATTTTATCCTAAAAGAAATAAAGGGACGGTTCTCAATTGAGAAGCCGGTCCCCATGAAGGGTTCTGCAAACAACCGGAACCAAGACAAAATCTGTGCTTATCATGATGACGTTGGTCATCACACCAATGACTGCATCAGTCTCATGCGGTACCTAGACCGCTTGGCTGAGCAAGGTGATCTTGACACTTATGTCAAGAAATCTACGGGGAACACTTCCTCAAAAAAGCAGTCGGCCAAAAAGAATCAACAGGCCGACAGTTCCGATACAGATGATGCAGTCGTCTACACCATTGCAGGCGGCTTCTCAGGAGGCGGCCCCACTATTAGGGGCAACAAAGATAATATAAGGCGGTTAGATGTAAATTCCGTTCACCAAGAACGGCCGTCCAAATATACATTTCCTGAGATTGTCATCACTGAAGAGGATCTAGGAGGGGTAAGGGGGCCGCATGACGACCCTCTTGTTATTGAATGTAAAGTGGCCAACCAGAGAGTTGGCCGAATCCTCATAGATACCGGGAGCTCCTCAGATCTCATCAGCAGCAAATGTCTGTCAAAACTGAAATATCAGACGGACTGCATACATCCGGCCTCCCACCCTTTAATAGGGTTTGGAGGAGGAGTCGTCCACCCACTGGGACGAGTAGATTTACCCATTCGCCTGGGCGAAAAAGGGGAAGGACGACACA